TTCGATATATTAAGATTATATCGATTTAATTTTACTTTAAATTTTCCATCAATTGAACATGTAGATGCGTGATAAATACATGCAAGACATCCAATATTTCCTTCAGCTTGTGTATCTGTTTTTTCATACATTGGATAAATATGAATAGTTGGAAATTGATTTTTCTCACCTTTAAATTGTAAACACATCAATTGAAAACGTAATAAATCATGTATACCATGATTCGTTTTATCATTTGCTAATTTCGAACGAGACCACACACCAGTTCCAAATAAACAACCTGATACTCCACAAATTTTATACATATTTTCTAAGATTTCTGGTTTAATTAATCGATTACTAACAATTTCCATTGCATTTCGAATAAATATTTCTTCTTCACATGTAAAACCACGATGAATTTTATAATCAATTTTAAATAATTGTTTGTTATTATTTAATTGTAAATTTTTATTTGCAAAAACAAAATGCATTAATTGTGATGGTTCTGGTCGTAATGGATTATTAATAAGTAATGGAAAAATAGATGAATGCTTACTATTAGAATTCAATGGTACTATTAATTTTTTTTCATAATTATAATACATTGTTTATAAAATATTTTTTATACGATATAAATATCGAGATAAATTTTACTAATGAGGAATTTGAATGAAAGACAAGTACAAAGACGTCAATTCTTCTACAAAAAAAGATATAGTTTTTCTTTTCTGCACGCTATTATATAGACACAATATTTGTATATCATTTGACGTCATCATCGATATTTTGTCTGACGTAGATTCGAATGTCGTCATTCTATGAGTAATAATGTTAGCGTCAACAGATGACACTCGATGATGCCAACTCTATTATCGTTTATGTTTTTATTCGTTGTTGCTTTCTTTTTCTTTTTTTTGATTGATTATATTTACGAATTTATATTTCATCATTATTATTACTATCATTTTTATTATATGTTTGATTTGTTTCTCAAATAAAACATATTCATTCTATTCATTCATTTATTATCTTTTTAATATTACGATAAGCACTATAGGGTAGACTGTTTATCGTGAATTCTCTTATTTATCAGCAGACATACATCACCAATGATATCTTGTTGTAGCCTGCGTCCTTGTGGAGGTTAGAGTCACATCGACATACATATAGCGAAAGCCTCAGAAACGAGAATAATATATTTTTTTACAGTATCATTCATGATATTGTGTATAATTTACGTAAAGTATCTCATCTTCGATGAATTTTTAAA